TCGGCTACAATTTGGTAATAAATATATTTAAATAAACCGCATGGTATAAAAATTATTTTAATTCAAAGTAGGAGAGTCATTTAATGTCATCCCTGTATTTTGTGATTATTATTAATTTGATTAACAATTTTACCTCAAAATAAATGAGTATAATAATTGTCTATAATTTAAGTTAATTTTAATATTTTAATAAATACCGTCAAAGCGATTTAACAAAATACATAAACAAATTAATTTTAAAATCGTGATGTTCAAATTATTTATTAAACAGACTTTTATACAGAAATATTTATATTATTAAATTATTCTAAGTAGAGTCTAATTAATGATTTTTTTCAATATATAATTTAAAATATAAATTGTGAAGTTTTGTAAAATATTTATAGATTTTTCAATAAATTTATTATTTCCAAACTTTATTTTTTGTTTACGAATAGAGAAATTTCAAATCAAATTGTAAAATACAATTATTAGTATTTTCTAATTATTATTAATTTGCTTACAATTTACTATGAATATGATTATGAGTATGAGTATGATTTATGGTGATTGTAACATTTAAATAGATATCGTTAAAATTTATCGATTTAACATAATACCTGTAAATAACCAAATTAAAATTTGGCAGTATAGATTTAAATTAATTTTAAAATCGTGATGATTAAACTATTTATTAAATCGACATTTATGGGGAAATCAATATTCTAAGAATTAAAATCTAATATTCTAATTATATATTTGTAGCATTGCTAGCATGATTTATTGGATATAATACATCATATGAGCAATTATAATTAATTATTTTATCTTGTCATATCTAAATTGAATTATTAAACAATTAATGATTGTATTGTTAGTGAAACTTGTTTCTCATAACTCGTAACATCTTAGCCCTGATGATGGTCGCAGTGTTGGCTGAAAACGTGAGGCAATTATCTTAATTATAATTTTAAGATTTTTATTGAAAATCAATAAATCTGATGTTGGAAAGCAAATTTAGGATTATATATAGGCTAAAAATACTTTATACTTTACTCGAAATCAATGACAAATATTTAAAATTTTAGCCTATATATTTTAGCCTATATATTATTATTGATTTATTGATCCGTTTTTTATATAATCAGTATGGGAACCATAAAGTGGTGGTAGAGGTGCAGGAATGTCAGGTGAGACTCCTTTTTGCGTAACACCAGGAATACGGTGTCCAATAAGTCTATGAATTTTGTGTACCCGTAGAGCATTCCCAAGTTTATGAATCGCAGGGTTTGAGGGCTGGTATCCTCGCGGGACGGGAACTCGAACTCAGTTACCAGTCGACCAAAGTCTATCAATTTGAGGCACATTACGAAAGAGAAAGCGTTAGTGCCGGCCATCAGTACATTGTAGGCATACATAAGCCATCGTATGTTCAGTGGCTTCCGGGTTGCCATTAGTTTGGGCCCTATTTTGGTCACAAACAGTAGCCATAGAGTCATGAATGTCAGCACCGGTAGTGGCCCTCCACGGGTCAGCCAATAGTGTTCTGTCCGGGGATCGGACACATTGGCCCAGTAGTCATAAAAATAATAATTGACAGCTCCTATAAGTCTGTTATCTTGATCGGTGATATTTGTATCACTTACTGATATCATAATTGTAAAATTAGTACATAATATTGTATTAAAATAATTTTAAAATTTATGAAGTTATGTGCTATTGTATATATAATATGTACAAAATTATATTTATAAAATCATTGGATAATTATATATAACTTGTTATTTTAAATATTGAATTTATCGTAATTTTTTATATAGGAAAGCCTTTACACCTGAATATAATTAAATTCTACAACTTGCATAATCATTTAAATTTAATTGATTATAAAGATAAACAATAATTATTAATTTCTCAAGCAGCGTAATTTTAACTTATAATGTAATAAATATCAATATTTTAAATTTCTATGTAATATATATAGACAACAAAAAAAAAATTACAAATAAAGGACGGTTGGTCACACTGGCATTACTTGTTTAATATTTAAATTTAGTTATGAACAATATCAAATAAATACAGTAATAATAATTGCTCATATATGGTAATTTGTCATAGCTAATAAATCATGCTAGCAATTCAATAAATATTATTAAATAAAGTCTAATTCTTAGAATATAATATAATAATAATAATTTTATCTATAAAAATTGTTTTATTATCACGATTTAAAAATTAATTTATAATATTGGCTGATTTTAATTTGTTTATGTATTATGTCAAATCGTTAAGACGAAATTTATTTAAATGTCACAATTACTAAAAATTATAGACAATTATTATACTCATAATTTTCTAAGTAAAATTATTAATCAAATTAATAATGTTACTAAAAGTTTGTAATTATACTTTACAATTTGATTTAACCTTTCCTTATTCGTCAAAACATACAAAAAATTAAGTGGACAAATAATAAATTCATTGAAAAAATTATGGCTATTTTATCAAAACTTCACAATTTGTATTGTGAATTCAATATTGAAATCATTAATTAGAGTCTATTTCTTAGAATATTATATAATAATGACTTCTCTATAAAAGTCTGTTAAAGAAATTGTTTTATTATCACGATTTTAAAATTAATTTAGATATTTATCGGATAATTTTAATTTGTTTATTATGTATTATTTTAATATTTATTGTGCTATTTAAATGTTATAATTATTATTTTTTACATTTATAATAATGACACAAATGTTTATAAATAGAGGTGCATTCAAAACACACACACAAACCAGTGGTGACCATATGTGGCACCAAAACAAAATTAAACTGGATAATACAAAAAACCACAAATTAAACCATTTTTTAAAATAAAATTTTAAGATTTGACCCTGTTAAATAATTATGGGTGATTATATAGCAAAAATCGCGCTGTTAGGTGAGATACCTGCTTCATTATTAAGGTGTCGGCGCAAATTTCGTGGGACTAGACGTTTGGACGGACAGGTAGTAGTCATCACCGGTGGAAATGCGGGTATCGGTAAAGAAACGGCATATCAGTTGTCATTGAGGGGACCAAAGGTGAGGTGGTATTTCATGTATTGAATAAACCTATACGTTATAGGCAATAACTAAAAGTTAACAAGTTGTTTAAAACAAACTTTATAAATATATCTAAATGTATTTATTTTTAATGAAATGTTTAAATAACAATATATCTCTACTGTGAAAATAAATCCATAATTTTGGATAATTTGTGAGTCTAATGCTTTTCAATTGATAACGTATAAAGAAAACCTATAAATAAAGAGTTTCTTAAAATTCTTTCGACTCACAACTTATCTAAAATAAATTATTTATTTTCAGATATTGTAATGAAATTACATTTTTAATAGAAAATCATAATCGGGTCGAGAAATAAGGTCAACAACGAGAAGGCTGTGATTGAAATAAGACGTCGTAATCCCGGCGCCAATATAACGGCTCTAACGCTGGACTTATCGTCCCTTAAATCTGTTCGCGAGTTCGCCCAACAAATCGCCGAAAGCGAGTCCAAAGTGGATATACTCATCAACAACGCCGGCGTT